TTTTTGGTAGCAAGAGGGGGTAGGGCGGGGAACCAGGAATTGATCTCAGGGGCACTCTACCACTGAGCCACATCCCCAGCCCTATTTTCTATTTTATTTGGAAACAGGGTCTCGCTGAGTTGCTTAGCACTTTGTTAAATTGCTAAGGCTGGCTGTGAACTCGTAATCCTCCTGCCTCCTGAGCTGCTGGGCATGTGCCACTGTGCCCAGCTGTTTGTCATTGGGATCCTAACTTGCATTTCCTAATAGGTGGGTTGGATCCATCTTAAAACCTTCCTAGTGGAAAGTGCACATCACAAGAATGAGGGCTGAATCTTAACCACCTCCTCTTCTCTTTTCAGCCCATAAGACATTTCTGGATATCAATTAGCTGTTCAGGCAACAGCCTATGTGTGACTCAAGGATTATGGTAAGAAATTTAGGAATACAAGGCTCTGTATTCCTAGCAATAACAGCACCAGGTAAACAACAGCATTCAATAAATGTTGTCACGAATGAAGTAATATCCAGGAGGTGTGGTGAGTGAAAGCAGCAGCTAGTCTGTATGCCAACCACCACAGGAGATCACATTTATCCATATCTTTGTCCCCAGCACTGCCCCAATTCTACTACCCTCTTCTTGGCTGTCTGAGTCTAAGAGGACCCCTAAATCCAATTTCCTAATAGTAAATTCAGCTGGCCAGATCCTCGGACTTTCAGCTTGAAGATCAACCAAGAGCCTGACATGGCAGTGCATGCCTATAATCTCAGCTGCTCAGGATGCTAAAGCAGGAGGATCACAAGTTTGAAGCCAACCTAAAATTTAGTGAGACCTTGTCTTAAAATCAAAAGGGCTATGGGTGCAGCTCAGTGGAAGAGCACTTGTCCAGCATGCATGAGGCCCTTAGTTCAATTCCCAGGACCTCCTGCAACCAAAGGGCAACCAAGAGGTGTCACTGCAACCCCTCTAGAGTTCTGCAAAGCCACACAGGAGCTCTCAGATCTTGTCCTGGGACACTCTTTTGTCCTACTCCCCAAAGTTTCCCTGAGAAATGCCTTTTCCTGACTGGGTGCTGCCTGGGCCAAACCCATACTCTAGACAAGCTTGACTGAGCAGCAGCTTTCAATTTCACAGCTAGTGGTGCCCAGAGCCCAGTTTTGACAGATGCCACCAATAAACTCAGCTCAGCACCATGGGGTGAAGCTAGAAACTACATCTTCCCCAGCTTAGCATTCATGAGCCCTACTGTCCATCTGTTCACCCCAGGGCTCGGGGCTGGTTTTGTGTCTGTGTTTTTATATAAAGGTTTGATTGTGATATGGCTCAGATACCATCAAATTCATCCAGTTATACAATTCAGTGGTTTTTATTATATTCTCAGAGCTATGTAACCATCACAATTAATTCAGAACCTTTGAATCACCTTAAAAAAGAACTCTGCAAAAACCCCATAGCAGACACTTTCTGGGCCATGTTTGCCATAAAAACAAGGCCTGTGGACTAGTTCTTAGAAGCAGAGGGTAGAGGACTCAGGAAGAGCAGGTGCAGGTGGGCCAGAGCAGAGGGATAGCACATTGGACTCTGCAGATCATGCCAGGGAGATTGTCCCTTCTCCCTTCAGGACACATTACATAACGTCTGCGTGTGCAGAAGAGATGCTCACCAGGCATTGTTCAACCCAAGGCAGCTTCTGGCTTTGGGGTTGGGGCAATCTGGACAGCTGGGGAATGGCTTCTACTCCTCCCTTGCCTGCAGCCCTCTACATGTTTGTTCCAAGGATAGGCCCCTGAAAAAGCCAGAGATCCAAGCACTGTGAGCTGGTTCTCTAGGAAAGCCAACCCAGCTGGATTGCCATCACTGTTGATTTGGGCATAGAACTAACTATAGTGGACATCAGCTGTTTTGCCATCTTCCAATCACCACCCATCCTGGTCCGTGGCCTCGGGTGTATATAGGAAGTCACCCCACTCACACCATCGGCTGGTTTGGTGGAGCTGAGGACTGTATCCAGCACGTGTCTCAGAACTGGCCAATCTGTGCTCAGCAGCTCTTTGGCAACAGTGATTGGCTCAGGGGCCAGCAAGTCATCCCAATTTAACCAGTCAGAAGTTTGAAGATTCCCTCTGGATCTATGAGGATACAGGAGGGGCTCTCAGCTCTGGAACTGCTGACCTGATTCCTGGCCAACCTGGGCTTAGAGGAGCCAGCCCAGGGAGAACACTAGGGAGTTACAGTGGGCTGTTAACATTGTTGGGAGTAGGTCATGCTGGCGTACACCGCCAGAATCCCAGCAACTCAGGACACTGAAGCAGGAGGATTACCAAGTTTGAAGCCAGTCTTGGCAACTTAACGAGGCCCTGTCTCAAACATTAAGAAAGGGCTGGAGGTGTAGCTCAGTGACAGCACCCCTGGATCCAATCCCCAGGACCGGGGTGGGTGTTGGGGGGGGCACTATTGGAGCTTTTTTTCTCCTTTTCCCAGTTATGTGGGCTCATAAGTGACCCCTCAGATTTAGTCCCTCCTGGGTGGGTTTCCATCATTTGCCAAGTTTGCAAGGGAAGCTAACTTGCTTATTGAGCCAAAGAGCTACAGCTCAGGTGGGAGCCCGCACAGCAGGGGTGGCTCCATTTTGTGATGGGAATACACCCACACCTAAGCCTGTTCCCAAAGTACTCCTTCTGTCCAAATTCAGGTCTCAAATACAACCAGGAAACAGACAAGAGTCTCGGGGATCCATCATGTATGACCACAAATAGGACCCTAAATAGAATAAGTTACACTTTATGTATGTATATTCTGCCAAAGTCCATTCTACTGTCATGTGTAACTAAGAATAAAAACTAAAAATCTTTTTTAAAAAAAGTCTCTGGGAGACAAGCCTGCAGGAGGCGCAAATGGTTGGTTCTGCTCTACTGTCCCCATAATACCAGTATGGTCCCAAAGACCTTTCCTCACTACAGAGCCTGGCTTCAATTCATTTCAACAAAGTCCATGGGGTGTTTGCTGGGTATCAGCCCTAAGCTCCTGAGTTGGCTCTGGGCTACTTAAGAAATGAGAAAAGCAGCACGCATCCCAACTTGGCCCTCCTGCTGCCTCCGCACATGCTTTTTGGGAATGGTTTCTTAGCTATTCCCTGGTGAGAGGCCAGAGTGGGAGAAACCTCCTAGACATCTTCCTTCATCCACCCCAGGATAAATCAGCTCTTAGAAGGAGCTGGAGGAGGATGGAGACTAAATCTGCAGCAGATGTTGAAAACGAGTCACAAGTTTTGAGTCACCCAGATTCAGCCCACCTGCCTCATCCCCTCCCCCATAAGCCAGCCACAGCTTATTGCCATCATTCTAGAAGCTGAGGCCCTCATTTGGGCCCACTGGCCCCATTCCAGGCTCTCCTCCCCAAGGCCAGTGTGGGATGACAGCCTGGAGGAATGGTTCTATCACAACTTGAGATTTCTTGGGCCACATTTACCAGGACAGGGCCTTTTTAAATTTGTGGGTGCTCCCAAAAAGTAGTGTGAGTTATCTTGGAGTCTTGTAACTCAGTGTCTGGTGCTCAATAAATATGTGATGAATAGCACATTCTGGGGGGCAGGAAGAGCAAATGTACAGAAAGCTTTGTTATGAAAGCCCAGAGACAACACTCCTGCTCTTCCTTCAGCATCAACACCCAGGAGCCAGGAAAGCTCCTGCTAAACTGTTAGGCAAGTGAGGTTTGTCTCTGGAACTCCATCCCTCCCTTTAGTACCGGTGCTGAGCTCCACAATTTCAGGGACTCTCTCTCCTTCTCTTTGGTAACTCCCCCACCAGTAGCTCAACATAGTAAAAACAAATAACAACAATAAAAAACTGGACAGAATAACTCTTCCTAAAGTATGGATGACTGTTAAAGTTAAAGCATGTACCCAAGCTATCTCTCCAACCTTTTTTATACCTTTATTCATTTATTTTTATGTGGTGCTGAGGATCAAACTCAGGGCCTCGCACATGCTAGGTGAGGGCTCTACTGCTGAGCCACAACCCCAGCCTCCCCACCCAAGCTTTCTTAATAGAAGCTCAGCATAAGGGTGAAACAGCAAGATGACGGCAAGTCTACAGCTACAGAAAAGAATTAGTGATAAAAGTGTCTTGCCAATTGCCCTGGTCTCATTTCCCTATCATCTGGATTCTCTCCAACCACATCCCAAAAAGATAGATACTATTCACTCTAAAATTAATGTTACTTATTTGGTAAGGTCTTCTACTTCAGTGTTCCCCAAAGCATAGGTGCATGCCACCCAGTTTTAGGATGACATGAGAGCATCACACCAAATGTAATGAACCTCAAGGAAAGGTCCACTGTTTAGTTCTTCTCCTTTCCCGATTAAGTCGAGGAGAGTCTGGGTTACATGCTAGGATATCTTTAATGCCTCTTGAGATCTGCTCATCCCCCTTTTGCTACACACACACACACACACACACACACACAGAGCAAACTTCAGGCCCAAGGGCTCAAGAAGCAAGAATAACTGACATCAACGATCTCTACAGGGAAAATAGTAGGATACTTTTACAGAACTCTTCTCCAACTGCTGGTTGTTTTCCATGAATGATGGTGAAATAAAGTTTTCTATAATCATAAATCAATATACATTTAAGTTTAAAAAAAGGAGGATTGATTTAAAATGTGAGGAAATCATCACCCAGGTTGTACATGAATATGACAAAATGGTGAGGACAAGAATGAGCAGCCTGAGAAACACTGATCTGATTAAACAGCTGTGCTATAGGCTGTGCTCCTGAGACACTGTGCCAACCCCCATGGGCTGGCAGGAGGGATATGGTGGTCCTTACCTCTTGGATTTACATTCAGGGTGAGATCCGGCAGGGCAGGAACCTGCCATAAGAGACCACCAGGCAAAAAAGTGAGAAGATGGCAAATAATTTCAGGGGTTTGGCAGATGTTCATTTCTTGGCTGATCCTTACCAGTCCCAGAAAGCAGGAAGTAGGAAGGGGTTGGGAGGCTGTTCCATGGTCACCCCCCAAAAATCAGACCTTCAGAAAATGAGTCCTCCACGTGGCAAGGCATGGGTCTTTTATCTACCCGCATGCTGGGGATCAAATCCCGGGCCTTATAACATACTCTACTCTCAACCCCCAAGTAATGGATCTTAACTAGGTCCTATGACTCTGCTCAGGGACAGGTAGAACAGAAAGGAGACCAAGAGAAAACAGTGGGGTTTCTCAGACTCAGAACCTTTTAGAGATGGGGAAAGTTGGGAATACCCAATCATGCCAAGATTCACTCATGACACTAACGCAATCACTTCCTCCAAGGGACCTGAAAACCACCCAAAGAGGGATATGGCTTGCCCATGACCACAGAACTGCTCAGTGACAGCACTGGTACTAGAACCCAGGAATTCTCACTCCTAACACAGGATAGGTTTGGCCCAAGACCCTCACCAACCTTTCTATTCTTCTCCCCATCTCCTTGTATAGGACCTTCCACTCTTGACACCAAAACTCATCACCCTCCTAGAAATAATATCCTAGTGTTCCTCTGAGGAACTTTTCCCCTCCTGACAAGTGTTTCTGTGCTGCTAATGATGGCTGCAGGGTGGGCAGGAGGCTCCAGCCTAGCCAGTCACAGCAGTGTACTGGCAGGCAGCAGTTCAGAGATCCGGTCAGCTCCTGGACCCAATCAATGGGACCCAGTTGCTGAGCCATGGAACAGAGAAATATGTCCTGTTTGCCAAGAGTGATGGTGTGGAGCCTGAGAGTGAAACAACACAGGAGAGGACAGAGCTGAGAGATGGAGAAATGGGTCCTGATGACACTGTCAGAACACCTAGGTTAGGCCTTACCTGAAGTCAGAACCAATGAACCTGCTCATTGTGTGAGACAACAGATTTCCTGTTACACTAAACCAGTTTGAAGTAGGATTCCTTGCTCCTCCGCAGAATAACCATGAACATGAAACTGCGCCAGCAGCATCAGACGCAGTGTCCCTCCTCTCTGGGTCACAGAGCCCCCAAGGGGAAAGGGAATGCAGGTTGAGAGTGTCAATCCTCACCTGACTCCCCTTCATGACAGAATTCCTTTTGGCTCCCTCTGCGCCCCCCACAATCTGGGCTCCCAGTTACCTCGAGCCGTTGCTGATGAGAATACTCTCCCGGATCGTCAGGGTGCAGTAATACCACACCAGCAGGAAGTTAAAAACTTCATCCGTCACCCTGGCATGAAGAAACAGCCCCAGGGAGGGGAGCAATGTGAGCACCAGGACAGCCAGCCCTTCACCCCAAAAGGACAGCACCAGGGCAAGGGCTTCCCATGGCAGGCACTACCTCTGGAAACCCCTACTCCATTTTGGCAAGCAGAAGTCTGGACACTGGATGTCTCCTCTCTCCCTGTAATGTCCAGGACCACTGCTCCTCCTTCTACCGGGCCCTACCTGCACTCCAGGCTCTAGCTGAAGATCTCCTCCTCCCTGGTCCAATGCCCAAGGCAACCCATCTCTAAACTCTTCCTGTCTGGGAAGATTCTGGATGACAACAGAAGGACCTTTAAGAACTGTTCTATTTTAGGTTGTTTGTCTTCAATGGTAAGATGCAAATTCCTCCCATCTCCTCAAACCAGGTAGTTTTGGGTTGGGGGTTACTGGGGATAGAATCTAGGTGTCTCTACCACTGAGACAGATCCCAAGACCTTTTTATTTGTTTAAATTTGTGTGTGTGTGTGTGTGTGTGTGTGTGTGTGTGTGTGTGTGTGTGTTGCTGGGGATTGAACCCAGGGCTTTATACATGCAAGGCAACCACTTTACCAATTTACCCAGTCCCCTTAATTTAATTTTTGACAGGGTCTCTCACTAAGTTGCTGAGGCTGGCCTCCAAGATAGGATCCTCCTGCCTCAGCCTCCACACTCACTGAGATTACAGGTGTGTGCCACCACACCTGGTTAAACCATTTGTTACACATATGAAATGAGTCTTAATGGCCCATGTGAGCTACCAAACTAAATGAAGAAATACTCCTTTGCCTTTTCTACTGTGATTGTAGCCTGGAACCTAGCTGAGCAGGTCTCAGATGCAGACAGAATGGACTGCTGATGCCCATGGGGCTGTGGGCCTCAGCTTGCCATCTGTAAAGTGAGAAGGCTGACCCCCTAACAGAGCATCCCAGGGCAAAGGGTCCTGGGAGAGAGCCAGTGGCAAACAGCCCTCTGAGGCACCCCTGCCAGCAAATGCTCTGGTGGAGGGCTCTGTCTTTGACCCTGACAGGGAAGCTCTTCTGCACCTGCCAGTGCCAGACAGACTTCTCCCAGGAGAAGTGACCATGGGTCTGGGCTGTCTACAGATAAGGGAAGAAAAACACCCCAATTTCCCTGAAGTGGAAGACCCTCTTCCCTCAGAGGGAAGGAGGGAGGATGCAACTTCGCGGCAACAATGAATAAAATTAGGGGTGTCTCTGAAGCTATGTGACTGTGTTTTGTGGAGTGAGATGACAGTTACCCGCAGACCCCAGGGCTGAACTGTTGTCACCCACAAAGATAGTCTCAGGAGGGTCAGGATTCCTGAATTCACTCTGGAATTCCAGGGCCTGAGTCCAAATCCCAGCTCTGTCACTTCCCAGCTGTGGGTCTGAGAATGAGTGAGCTGCTCCTTGGAGCCCACACTTCCTCTCTGTAATGTGGGAGGGTAATGGCACCTGCTATGAAGGGCTGCCATGCTCAGTTAATACAGAGTGCTTAAGACAGTGTCCCCAGTGTAGCAGAGCTGGGCATGTTCTGGGTTAAAACTCTGGAAGTACCAGACCATCCAGTCTGCAAAATGAGGTTCAGAAGCTTATCACTGAGGAATCAGAGGCCCACATGACTTGGATGAGAAGTGAGGGTGGCGAGAGACAGGTATGCCAGGACAGAGCATCATTTTTTTTTTTTTTTGGTACTAGGGAGTCTAGTACCAAAATCCAGGGGTGCTCAACCACTGAGCCACATCCCCATCCCTTTTTGTATTTTATTTAGAGACAGGGTCTCACTGAGTGGCTGAGGGCCTTGCTAAATTATTGAGGCTGGCTTTGAACTAGCTCCTGCCTCAGCCTCCTGAGCCGTTGGGTTTACAGGCGTGTGCCACTACACACAGCCAGGTGAGGGTCACTTTCAATGCAGGTTTTCCTGCTCACCTCCAGCAGGAGGAAAGTACAATAGCCAGCTATGGATACAAGGACATTTTCGCTAATCCCTTCCTAAATCTTCTGGATGAAGACAGGAGTCAAAACAAAATGTTATGGTTCCAGCACTTGCTCTGACTTGCTTCAGGTGCTGGCCTCAATCTGCTTGGCAAAGTGTGTGAGTTTCCTATGGCTGCTGTAACAAATCACCTTGAACTAAACGGTTTAAAGAAACCATTTAATCTCCTATCATTCCAGAGGTCAAAAGTCTGAACTGGGTCTCACCAGGCTAAAATCAAGCTTTTACCAGGACTTATCCCTGCTGGAGGCTCTCAGGGAGAATATGCTTCCTGTCCTTTTCTAGTTTCCAGAGGCTGCCGTATTTCTTGTCCTTGTACCATTCCTATCTTGGTTTCTGTCATCACATCTCCTCCTGGGACTCTGATTCTTCTGCCTCCCTCTTATGAGGACTCTTATGATGACCCTGGGTCCACATGAACAACCCAGGCTAACTTGCCCATCTCCAGATCCTTAACCCAATCATATCTGCAGAATCCCTCTTGCCATATAAGAGAGTGTGTTCACAGGTTGCAGAGACGAGGACGGGACCACTACTCAGCCTCTCACACTGGTCAGCACTGGTAACCGGAAACTTGCTATGCTACGCACATTCTGCACGGATGGTCACTCTGAATCCTTGAAAAGCCCTGCACAAAGCAGGTATGTGTACTACGCTCACGCCTGCATGACTTCCAATTGCCAGAACCTGCCACTCTTGATGTGCCCAGGGCTCTCTTGGGCCACCACAGCCACTCTTCTGGTGCACAAAGCAGATCAGAAGGTGGAGGAATTAGTACCTTCTAGGAGAAGTCCCTAGCTTCCCTGATTGACAGCAGTAGGAGGACGACACACCAGCTGCCTGGCCCTCAGGTAGGACATCCCAGGTTGTTCTGTACTGTCCTGGATTCTCTGCAGTACTGAGCTCCAAATGCCTATGGGATAGCTCTTCTTTGTTTCACTTTCTGTTCGGCTACCCGTGTTTCCTAGGATCATCTATCATAGGGACTGAAATACTTGTCTTGGGGTATTATATATTTGTCTTCTAAAGGAAACCCAAGGATGGAACTACTTCCTACTTTACAGATGAGGAAATAAAGGCTCAGAGAGGGGGAGTGAGTTGCCCAGGATCACACAGCTGCTAAGCCTTGGAATGAGATCCAAACCCAAGCCCATCTAAATGAAGCTTAACTCTGACTACCTTGTTCCTACCTGGCTTGAAACCCCATAAAGCAGTTCTGACCTGACAGCTTCTTAGCTTGAAGACTGCAGAGAGAAGTCTCAAACTTTCTAGGTACCTCAGATACCTCAACAAAGCTTCCTAAACACAAGGCAGCATGGATAAGAGGGGTCCTAGGGACCATGGGAAAGACGAGGAAACAGAGTGGTGAAGGGCTATAAACAGGGTCACATAGCCTATGAGTGGTAGAGTTGGGCTTAGGACCCAGGGCTCTGAAGCTGTTGGCTGTCAAACTGCAAGCTTAGAGGTATCAAGGAGGGCATTTGGGTGGAGCACCCAGCAAGGAAACTATGCCAAGGGGGAAAGTATAACATTGAATATTAAGCTGTGATCTTTGGGGGGGCAGATGGGAAGATAGATTCTAGCTATGTTTTCAGGCTGATCTTAAACTCATGGGCTCAAACAACTCATGGTTGCATGCACCTGTAGCTGAACTACAGGTGCATGTAACCATGCCTAGCTGTGATCTTCCTGAGAGCCCAGTCCTAACACAAGGTGACAGTGACAATAACAGTAGCAAGTACTAATGGCTCCATAGCAAGCTCCCCTGTGGTCACCAGGAGAGAGGAGCTGCCTGCCCAGTCCCATCCTCTGTCCCTTTTTCAGCCTACGGATGGTATACTGAGTTGAAACAGTATCCCCCAAAACTCATATCCACTGGGACCTCAGCATGTGACCTCATTTGGAAATAGGGTCTTTATAAATGTGATAAGTTTAAACAAAGTCATACTGAGTTAGGGTGAGTCCTAAATCCAATGGCTGGTGTCCTTACAAGAAGGCCATGAGGGAGACACTCAGGAATGGAACCATGTGTCAACAGATGCAACGACTGAGGTAAAAGGACTTAAAGCCAAGGAACACTACGGACTACCAGGAAGGACAGCCAAGGAAGAACCTGCCTTGGAGCCTGCCAACACCTTGATTTCTGGCCTCCTGAGCCACCAGAGAAGAGGACGGATTTCTGTGGTTTTAAGCTCCCCCAGTTGGTGGGACGTCTTATGGCAGCCCCAGGAGACTGAAACAGAGGAGAGGGGGAGAAATGGGACTATCCATCCAGGCCCTGGGTGAAGAACTTGACAACACAGTCCAGGTTTCCCCTGGAGGGCCCTAGAGGTCCCCATGCAAGGGAATACGGTTGCACACCAAGAACTTTTACCCCTTCCAGAGGGGAGGGTGAGCAGGCATTACTGGTGTGCACAGCCTCTGCCCCCAGGGAAGTGGGCCAGGCTCCACGCAGCAGGCAGACATGAGCCCAGGGCGTGCAAGAGACTGTTGGGTCACCTGAGTGCCACACCAGCAGCTGGACTCTCAGCCAAGGGCAGAAAATAAACTCTTGACACATGGACCAAATCCAAAACCATACTTGGCTGCCTCCCCTGAGGGCAGAAGAACCAAGGCCAGAGAGAAGAAGGGACCCCAGGGCAGTGCAGCACAGCCCCACCTCCCTCCTTGGAGAGCTTGCCAACCACAGAATGTGGATGCACTGAACCTTCTCCACCCTGTGAAGTATGGCCTGTTGTCACCTTGTCTTACAGATTGGGAGACTAAGGCTCCCAGGGGGAACCCACCCATGGTAATAGCCAGTTAGTCTCAAAGCCAGTGTTTAAACCCAGGCATTCTGGACTAAATCTTTTTCTTTTTGTATTTTTAAAATTTCTTTCTTTCTTCTTTTTTTGCAATTCAGATATAATTCACTTACCTTTTAAAGTATTCAGTGGGTTTTGTTATATTCACAGAACTGTGTGCAACTGACATTACCTAATTTCAGAACTTTCTCAACACCCCAAAAAGAAACCCTATAATCCATGAACAGCCACTCCCTGTTGCCCCTCCTCCAGCCCCTCCTCCAGCAGGCTCTGACCTGCGCTGTCTCTAGATTGACCTACCGTGGATATTTCCTATCCATGCAATCATGCAACACGGTTTTCTGGGTCTGCCTTCTTCACTTAGCAGCATGTGTCAGTGTTTTATTCTGCTTTATGGCTGAACAGCATCCTGTTGTATGGATGTGCCACAATGGACTCTGTCTTAACTACTGCATCAGAGGGCCCTCCAGCAGCCCTGTGGGCCCTCCACAGGTGATCAGCATTGCAGTTTCCCATGAGAAATGGTCCTTCCCCACCCTATATCTTATCACACCAAACACTCCAGGAGCAGGAGGGACCTTGCCTCCATTTGGCCCCCTCTCTCTCCTGGCCCCCTCCTCACACCCCATATGCCCATACACACACTGCCACGCCCCACTACCTGTAGTGAAGGACAAAGCGACATGCCACAGCTCCCAGGAGCAGGATTATAGTCAGGTAGAGCTTGAACTTCTCATACTCATCCTTGTAGGCAAACCTGCCATGACATAACCCCCCAAGAAAGGTCACATTCTATTAGTATTCCACTCCACTCCCAGCCCTGCCAGTTCCAGGACTACCACCACTGCCACAACCCATGAGGACCTGCACATTCCACTAAGGGAGACACACTGGCCTTGAGTCAGCAGTGACCAATGAAGGAAAGAGGGCCAACTACAAAAGGTCCCCCTGTCTTTGGACTCCTGGGTTAGAGCTTTGGGCCCATGATGCAAAGAGGCAGGGCAGAGATAGAGTCTCTCCCTCGATCAAGTGGTGCAGCAGAAACACAAGGGTAACTCTTGCCTAGAAATGGAGAGATTCCAGGGGACAGGAGCACCTGTTTCCCATGGGAAATGCTCTAACAAGGGAAGTAATAAATGTTATAAGAAGGGAACAGAGCAGGGGTCACTCTCATGGGAAATGGGGAACCTTATCCACCAACATACTGACTCTGGGAAAAGAAGGAAGGAAACCTTCCCCAAGCTGCCTACCCACTAAGGAGGACTAGGCCAGAAAGACCAAAAGCCAGAGCCCAAACTGCTAACCTGCTTTGATTTATGTAAAAATTCTAGCTTGGACCTATCTTCCCTGAGTGAAAAGAGCAAGATGCCTGGATTTTGAGCTAGTAAGTGGGCGGAGGGGCAGATCCAGGCATACTTACTTGGCCTGGTTGCTGAGGAGGGTCACATTCACATTACCAAGGACCAGATTCAAGTAGAGCCTGGAAGGAAAGACCTGTGAGAGCCACATTCCTGAACGGCCTTGAGAGTCGTCCCACCCAAAATTATGCACTGAGCACTAAAAAGAAAAAAAAAGCCCCAAAACAAATGAGAACAATGATTAACTGAAGAATACGGCAGCTTGTACATGGAAGTCTATTAGCTCATTTCCCCCATCAAAGCTAGCTTAGAGAACCTATTGCCCCTTCTCCCGTACAGCCAAATGTAAGCGTATGACTAAGTTCCAGGCAATGAGGTGAGGTGAAGGCATAAGTATAATCTCTAGATCAATTTAGAAAGTGTTTTTTTTTTAAGTGGTACTGAGGATTGAACCCAGAGGTGCTCTATGACTGAATTACATCCCCAGTCCTTTTTATACATATATATATATATTTTTTTTTTGCAGGGGTGGGGGTAGGGCAGGGTTGTCCTAAGTTGCTGAGGCTGTTCTCAAACTTGTAATCCTCCAGCCTCAGCCTCTAGAGTCACTGGGATTCCAGGCATGCACCACCATGCCCAGCTAGGATTGTCTTTAAAATTAAGGCATAACCTTCATAAGTATACATGTCTTAAGCACAAGCATGATGAATTTTTATATATTTGTACAGGTAACCAACACTCAGGTCAAAGAATAAGACATTTCCAGCCCCAGGAGGCTCCCTTATGCCCAACCAGGTCAGCTTCCCCCAGTCTTTTTTTCTATCACCATGGATTCATTTTGCCTATTTTTGAACTTCACCTATATATACAGAGGGTAGAATCTTTTAACTTGGCTTCCTTCCCTCCATATTCCAAGCTACATCCATGTGGAGGGCATTTTGGTCCTTCCTTCTTTTTCATGGTAAGCAGTATTCTATGGGTGGCTACACCACCACTGATTCATTTCTTCTACTTTTGATGAACATTTGGTTTATTTTCAGTTTTTGGTTGCTTTTCAGTGTGTTGCAAGAGTACTGAAAATCTTTCAGTAAATTTCCAACATGTAAGACAATATTTTTAAGAACAGTCCCCCTACTGTTGTGGGTCAGTCCTCAAGACCGAGAGGGCACTTGCCTAGAATGTACAAGACCTTGGGTTCCATCCCCACCCCTGAAAAAAAACAAATAAACAACAACAACAACAAAATCTCTAAACTTAGTCAAGCTATGTAACAAGTCTGTTGCTATTGACATCTCCCCAATTGCCCTGTACCCCTGCCATTGGTAACTATCTTTCCATTCTCTTTTTCTATATATTCACTTTTTAAAAACTCCACATATAAGTGAGATCATACAGTATTTTTTGCATCTGGCTTATTTCACTGCCCATAATGTCCTCCAGGTTTATCCATATGCTTTTAGTTATTGGCTAGTTGTGAACATACTTTTTTGTATCACATACCATAATTTTGTCCTTTTAAAGTATACAATTTAATGACTTCTAACATAATGTTGTGCACCCATCCCCATCACCTAATTCCGTAACACTTCTACCAAATGAGACCCAGCACTCATCAGCAGACTTTCCCTACTCTCCCTCCCCCAACCCCTGGCAACCGCTCATCTATTCTGTCCCTATGGTATTGCCTATTCCGGACATTTCATATAAATAGTGTCATACAATATTTTGTGTCTCACTAATTTGTTATGAGTGTTCATATACAGTCTTCCGGAGGATATAAACACCCATTTCCCCTGGGTATGTGGCCAGGAACAGAATTTCTGGGTCATAGTGTAGGTATGTGTTCACCTTCCCTAGGAAATGGCAAACATTTTCTGTAAAAGGGGATTTTCTTGCTTTCTTGCTCTCCTTCCCCTTCCAGTTAACTGGGGAGGCGGGTGGAAGGGGGAGCCAGATTTGTACATGCACGTCAGGACAACCCCCCCATGAGGGAGAAGCCGTCTGTTAAAGGATGCTAAGTCCTCAGATGACCTCTCAGCCCAGTGCTCTGGCCCACTCATCCCTGGGTAGCACATGTGAGAGGAAAGGCTCTCTCTCGTGGAGCCATCCTATGGTTGGGCCTCCATCAAAAAAGCCTGTTCTCTAATACACTAATAAAAGCACAAACAGGACCTCAATGGAGGATGGACAAATCCCACATAAGGGCAGTGGTTTGGAAAGGCTTCACTGAGGTGGTGACATTTGAATTAGGCTTTGAATAGTAAGCTTGAGAGGAGGAAAAAAAAAACAGAAAAGCCATCTTCCTAGCTATGAGTTGATTTTCGAGACATTTCCTATCGTCTATAATGGGAGCGAAAGTATAATGAGGACATTCTCTCCTGCCCAGCATTTAATCCCTATTTTCTTCAAGGGCAAAGCAAGAGAATCACTACCCCACTTAGACCCAAGGGACAAGAACATGCCCTTGGCTCAGCCAGTTAAAGCAATGCATCCTCATGATTGGTTAAGAATGGTCATGTGTTGGGCTGGGGATGTGGCTCAAGCGGTAGCGCGCTCGCCTGGCATGCGTGCAGCTCGGGTTCGATCCTCAGCACCACATACCAACAAAGATGTTGTGCCCACCGATAACTAAAAAAAATAAATAATAATAAATATTAAAAAAAATAAAAATAAAAAGATTTCTAACTGGTGTCAAATGCACAAAGAATTGGGGAGAGAGAAGCCAAGGATAGAAGTTTGAGCAACACTGCAAAGAGGATCATGAAGTCAGGAGCAATGGTGCATTCCTGTAATCCCTGCTACTTGGGAGACTGAGACACAGGGATCATAAGTCCAAGGCTAGCCTGGGTAACATAACAAGACCCTGTGTGAAAAGCAAAAAAAAAAATTGGGGACCAGGAATGTGGCTCAGTGGTAAAGTACTTGCCCAGCATATGTGAGGCCCTAAGTTCAAATCCCAGCACTGAA